GGGGGGGGGGGCATTGATTATAGTAACTTGTCTTATCACTTCTAATTGAAACTGCAAGCTGCTTACTCAGACAAAATTGGGAATTAGACAACACATTGCCTGAGGGGAGGGGTGAGCCTGGCCAGCTCGTCCCCTGCCCGCACGCAGCGCCCAAAATTAATATAAAAGAAGGGGGAGATCTCAGTACTGACTGGAGTTCAGCCGTGGGACCCCCCATGGGGCCCGCCACTTTCTCGGGACTCACGCGTTGGTCTCCTGCCAGGACTGAAACGAGCTCCCCAGTCTAAGAGTGAAGGTGGGTGATGATGGCACGTCCCAGTGTGAATAGCTTTGCAGTGATCATTTTTTGATTCAATCAATTATCACAATAACCATAATATCAAGTTGCACTTTCTATATATGCATGTTTCAAATTGTCACTTTTTTATACATGCCTATAATCTCTTGTATTGGCAGTTTTAGTATTGTTAATGATATATAATATTATTGGATATCACTTGTGAAACGGGATTATTTTGCATTGCCTTTGATCCAATGTCTTGGCATAGATTTTAATGCAAGGTTATTTTGTATTACTTGTAATAAAGTGTTTTTAGAAGCGAACCTAAGCGTGCCTGTTTGTTCCTTCGAGAGCCCTATACCCCCCTCACATCATCTTAAAACAACAGCCAAACAGAACTGATCTACCAACAGAGTCTGTCAGATAAGTTGGTCGTGTTGCTGTAAGTTGTGCCAACAGACACAAACAGTGCTGACAGATCACTTCCTGCTCAACATCGTCTGTATGGGATACAAAATATTTCCATGCCGGGAAAGATGAATGTCTTTTTGTGACCAGTTCTTGTCACTCATTTGTGTTTAATTTCTCACAAATGACCCACACAGTCTATGCTTATTAGAGTCCAACAGCCAGGAGCAGAATGATAATGATTGTCTCAGAGAGCACATGCTACAGTGGGTAACACTGGCACCTCAAACCTCCTGGTTTTGGTTCTGTGTAGTTTACGTGGTGACTCTGTGGGTAACGCTGGCACCTCAAACCTCCAGGTTTGGGCTCTGTGTTGTTTGCGTGGTGACTCAGTGGGTAACACTGGCACCTCACACCCCCCGGCTTGGGCTCTGTGTAGTTTACGTGGTGACTCAGCGGGTAACACTGGCACCTCACACCCCCCGGCTTGGGCTCTGTGTAGTTTGCGTGGTGACTCTGTGGGTAACACTGGCACCTCACACTCTCAGGCTTGGGCTCTGTGATGGACTGGCATCCTGCCCAGGGTGTCCCCTGCCTTGTGCCCTGTGCTTCCGGTGACAGGTGCCAGGCTCACCGCGATGGATGGATGAATGGATGGATTGATTTTATTTTTATTTTATTCTTGTTATAACCAGTGCATGTTACTAAACATAAAAGGTCTACTCACTTTCCTTTTCTGGACAAATCTGTAAATAAAAAAGATGAACAGTGATTCAATTAATAGCTTTGGAGCTGAAAATGGTAAGGCATCAGGTGATTACTAATTTAATAATATCTAATAATGATTACTTGCATAGGTGTAATTATCATACAGTGATTATTCCTGAGAGCTACAGCCTTCGGTATTACATCATCTCCCTTCCTTTGTAATAGTCGGGATTCCCATTATAGCCTGAGTGCCCCCTACTGGCCAGGAGGTCATTATGGTCCTGCACCATTGAAACAGCATCATAAAGGCAGAGCAAAAAAGCTCAAAAGTATGAGCAGTGTTATGAAATGTTACGTTATGTTATGTTTTATACTGCAATATTGTTAAGGACAATTACTGAGTAACTACTGAGTCATTACTCAGTTTTCTGTGTGATTACTGTCCTTTCTTTTATACTGGTTAACTACATTTCTTGCTTATGGCTCAGTGACTGGGACACGGCGAGATATAAATGACTGGAAAGCTGTCAACACACTGGAAAAGTCCCAGTACACATAGTCAGTCTTTATGGAAAGTTATGCATCATATCTCTGTTATACTTACAGTATGCAGACATCTGTATAACAAACCAGCCAAACAGGAAGAAAGACCCAGAAATCATGACAATCAGCCGTAGATCCAATGGCTGTTTCCCTGTGTCTGAAATGACATCATCACAAAAATCACTGAGAGCTGAGGTCAGTAAATGAGCAGTAAGTGACACACAGGGTGACCAGTGGCGTGACTCTGAGAGGAGGACAGCTGTGTCCAAAAAGGGGGACTGAGACTCAAAGACGAGGACACCCATGAAAATCTGTTCTGCGGGGGGGTCATGCATTGTATTGAGCACAGCCACTCTCAGCTTCCATAGTACTGTATGTGTTTGTGGTGTTTCACATTTTATTTGTGACTAAAATTGTGGGAAATGGCGCTAGTTTTTGACGGGGCTCAAAGAAGGACTCAAGAGCAGTGAGGATGGGGGGCTGGAAAACCGCAGTCTGGATGAAATCCGAATGAATGTCACCCTAGTGACAGATAATAAACTACAGGAATGCATATATACATAATTCAGCTGCACTCTTAAGTTTACATAGTAACACTAAATATGCAGGAGAAACATCTCAAAGTCTTAGTGTATTTACCTGCTTTGAGCTTTAATGCTACAGCCAGGGCAGCAGAATCCAGGAGAGGGAGACCAAGAGCCCCTGAGAAATATACACATTTACGGGGTTTGGCTGAAAGGTAGAGAGGAAAGCAGATTAGTCACACGGCTACATATGTACATTCAAATAGCCATGTGTATATAATTTGGTATTTCATTATTTAGACATTTACATGTTCAATTTATTTAATTGCATAGTTTCATTTTCTAAGAGCAACTGATTTATCAAATACAAAAAAACAACATTAATTTAAAAATCATTGATTTGACAAGAGCATGTCTGACACATAAACAGATCTGAAAGTTTAAGCTTAAAAAAAGTGTGGAAAAAAACTGCTTTGTACCAAGGTGTCTATCCCGATGCCGGTCATTATTGTTTGTGACAATCAGGATGTAGATGAACACAAACTCGCAGATCTTTACAGGTCGTTCTGTGGTCAGAACTATGGGATGACAACAGAGGTTATTAATGATGTGAACAAGTTGCTGTTCCTCTAACATCAGTAAATACAGGGACAAGCATAAATAGAGCAAAATTCATAACAAAACCACGACATCATTTGAATCAGATGAGTTTTTTACAACTTGAAAAAAGGTATGACTTTAAAGAACATTTTTTTATTGTCTGTTCCTTAGCCATTATTAACTTGTTACTAATCATTAGGGAATATATTAATGGATAGAAAGATTAATTCACAAACAAATTTATAAATGCATCAAAATCATATTATGCTCCTGGAGTTATAATTGAGCATTTGCAAGCTCTTTAGTAAATACTTTGTAAGAAAGGAGTAAGATATATTTTTATAATGCGTTTGTAAATTTGATTCTAAGGGAATCTTTTTATTTACTAATTTATCAAATGATTCATAACACTTTATTAATATCTAAGCAGCAGACCATTAAGGCTCAGGTATGATTAAAAAGTCTGACTGTGTTGTTCTTTAGTTGCAAGTGATTTACAGGCTCTTTAGTGAAAACTTTGTGAGACAGGAGTAAGATCTTTGTTTCCGGTTTCAATACTTGTTTTCCAGACACTGGAGGAACACAGTGAAATTCTGTAATGATTTACATTAAATGCACCTTCATAATGCATTCATAGGACATTAATAAGCAGCATGTAAGTACACTGTAACATGCCTTAAAGCACTGCATTCATAAGACTCTCAATGAACACGACATGACAGCTTTAATATACATTAATAACAAACATTATAATGGTATAATG